TAATGGCAACGTAATAAATTCTCTAAGGTCCTTTTCTTTCATCCTTCCACAAACTAATATTTTTATTCCACAAGCAATGTTTAAACAGGCTAATACTTACTCCCAGACTGTAATGATCGGTCACAAAAGAAAGAAGTCCCCTGAGCTGGGGATCCCCATAGCACAAGGGAATATACAAGGTGTAAGAAGAGCAGCAGCTTCCAAACACATCTCAGGATTTAATCCAAATTATCACCTGCTTTCAACTTTTTTTTTTTTTTTAATCAAGAGCCTAGTAATTCACCATAACCCTTTCAACTGATACACCCCCCTTACTGCCTTGATTCTTCCTACTTCTGATGCAGCTTCAGAGGTTCTGAACTGCACCGTACACAGAATTTAGCTCCTTCACACTGAATTTACTGGGATACTCCTTGACAGTAACCATTTTCTTTTTTCCATTTATGCCTAAATGCTACCTACCAAAACTGTCTGCTTGTTTCTTCCAAAAAAAAACCTGCTACAATCACTCTCTTTATCCCTGACTTTATGCTTCTGAAAAAACACGACAATATTTCAAAAGAAAATCATAGAAAAACTCAAAGCAGACAACATCTATGCCTACTTAGTGTTCCAGCACATTTGCTAGAAGCTATACACAGAGATGTTTGCTTAAAAACTTTGAAGAAAAGAAATAGGATTTCTGGTTGTAACAAAAATATATAACCTAAATTAGATGCTTTTTTTCTTATCAAATATGCCAAATATAATAATATGCAAATTTTATTTTCATTTAACACTTACATTTAAAATAGACACTTCGTGCAATACAAAAGGTTCTGTACTAGTGGAGTATCTTAATCTGCTTCACTTTAATAAAAAACAATTTAACAGCATCCTCAGACTTGCTTAGATTGAAGAAGAAATTAAATAAAATCTCTGACCCTTACCAGCATTTTGCTGGTTTCTAGGCCAGTCTACCTGGATATTATATAGATAAACTGAATTTAATTTCTGGGAGTTTTCTATGGATAAGCTGTAAGCTCTTAAAACAATGCTGTTCATGTGATAGGTAAAGTTATGAAAAACTTAAAACCCAGGCAGTGCTCCTGGAGGAAAAATTACCAAAAGGCTTACTTTTTGTGCTTTCTCAGACAGTCCTCTCCTGGAAAAACTTTCGCTTGATTATGTTTGAAATTGAGCTGAGCTACCTGGAATTTGTACTGTATCAAATACACTGCTAAGATCTTTCTTCTGAGTCCATCCCAGTGTTCTGCAGGTCAGCAACGAATCCCTCACTGCTTCAAATTCTGGAAAAATCGGGCTGATAGAAAGACATAGCAATTTTTAAGTGATGATATATGTAATACTTTATTCAATTTTACATGTGAGTAAACTGGGGCACACAGTAATCAATGAATCTTAGCAAGCAGACCAAAACTGGATTCAAAGAGTATGATTTCTACTACTCTTCAACACGAAATCCATTAAAAATTACCTTGACGTACATATTCCTTTGCAGCACAAGCTCCGACAGTTTTCAGATGCGCTTATGTATGAAAATAGCTTATGGAGTCAACCTGCATTGGCAGAGAAACAAATTTAAATTCCAGCCCAGTATTATCAAATACATGAGAATATTTTTTACTGCATCTAGTCTAGCTCGTGATCCTGTTAACTTTCAACTTCCATATATAGAATCCTTTTGCTCCAAACCCCAAACTTCTCCCTCCTTAAGGCACAGTTCTGTTTACATAAATAAAAGCAAACATGATCAACCAAAACCAGCCTAAATCCATGGATGGCAGACTTATAACAAGTTAACACCTGGATAACCCAAAATCTGTATCCAGCCCTATATGATCAGCCTCACAGATTGACACTAACACTGAAAAAGTGAATACACACACCTCACTGCTCCTACTATATTTCTTTAATACAAATTGATGTCACAACCTGTATCTCAGATATCTTCCCCTCATGAATTATTCCCCTTCATTAATTCCACACACTTCATCGGAAGCAGGGCAAGTTGGCAGAGGTAGCCTTACTGAAGCCTCTTTGAATGATAGCACTTTGCAGTCTGTCATCACTGAGCCAGTGTATAACTTAAGCAATATATATGGACCTTATAATGGCTTTCTTTAACAGTCAGATGGAGAAACAGAAAATGGCACAGGCTACGTGCTGTTACTGTCACGTTACAATTAAAGCTTTACGTTCCTGTGCTTTAGAATCTTGGATATCTCCTGAAGCAAGTATAAAATTATTTCTCACCTCCATAGGCTTTTCATTGCTTTCAGACAACTATTCCACCAATTCTTCAACAACTTTGCAAGAAGTTAGATAAAAAGACAGCCTGATTTACAGTCTTGCATTTTAAAAGGATACAGACAATTTCAAAATCATATTTCTACCTGAAATTATCCTTTCACTGATCTCTTTACCAGTACTGACAAAGGCTACTCTGAATAATAGACTGCAAGGGAAAAAACCCACTTCGCTGCTTTGGATCTTTCATGCTGTTTCTGACATTTGTGCCCAGCTGGCTTCAGTACTTCACTATGCTGGGGTTTTTTTTCTAATAGTAAAATATAGCAGAGCCATAAAAAACTACTGCTGCGCCGTAAGAAGTTGCATATTTTTAACTTTTTTAGCTTAAGTTGGCTACATATTTCAAGCCAGTTGTTTTGCCCTTTAAGGCAAATTTAGTTTCTTTTATACATATTTCAAGCCAGTTGTTTTGCTGTTTTGCCCTTTAAGGCAAATTTAGTTTCTTTTAGGCTGGGCTAGTACCTGCCAACTCCAAGATTCTGGCACAGCTTCAAATTAAGAACGCTTCCAATGAAATCAGGCCCAAAAGCTGTTGGAATCACAACTTTAACCACCTAGATCTACTCCCAAATATTGAATCAAGACTAGCTTCTATTGCACTAATCACTACCCTAGCTCAGTCCCAAAATCATTTGTTTATAAAGAAGTGTCAGCTGTTATACTATCCATCAGCTGTGTCAAGCCCCAAGTAACAAGCGTGATATTACCCACTATTCTGTTACTAATATTAGTTTCTATGGCCTATTAAAATTATTGTTTTAGGTTCATGCCATGCCCTTCTGTATTTGCTCTGACTACAATTCAGCTTTCTTACTATTTCCATCCACTGAAAACCTGCTTGAAAGCCTGTTAGTAATTACTTAGTTATATATGATTGGGGAGGGAGACTTAAGCCTCTCGTGTGACGAACTGGGTGGCCTTAATTTGTTGCTAATGTTATCGGGCTGAAGATATACTGATATACTATGGGCATTAGCTCTGAGTGGGCAGAAACATATAGCAGATGATCTCACAGATCTTTGCTGTCTCTAGTGTCATAACTCAGCAATACGCAGTTATTTTGCAGAACAGGAGCAACACATGCAGAACAGCCCAGCGTCTAAGAAGCCTGCATGTCACATTTAATTTATGAGAAAGGCAACATTTTCAAAAGGCTATCCTGCCTTTTAAGATATTCAGAAAGAACAGTCACATCCTCTAAAAAATTCTGGGTTGAATCCAGTCCGGAAAAAGCACAACCCAGCAGAAACAGAAGAAAAGTAGTCTCAACCAGAACTTTTTTTCTTGTAAACTCTAAAGTTCTAAACAGAAATAGATAAAACAACAAAAACTGTTTATAGGCAGAAGTGGCAATTTAAGGCTTTCTTTTAGATATCACCAACTTCTTTACAATTTGAAACCAGCATCAGTATTATAAGCTTAAGACACTTATTAGAACACCTGTGTTCAATTTATTGTAATTCAAAAAACCTCCAAGAATAAGCAGGGTGTGGTGTCACCACCTAGCCATAGAACAAGTAACAGTCACAATTTCATACCTCATCCCTGGAAAAATCCATTGTCCTGAAAACATTATAGAATAATAAAAAAACCACCACCAAATAACAGACTTTTGAGAGACATTCTAATGACCAAGAAACTGGGGTTTTTTTTCTAAATGAAGCAACAGATTTTGAAGACTTTTATTTGAAGTAGGTAACAGCTTCAGTAGCACTGACTTCAGGGCGGGGAGGGAGGCAATAGTGTCGCGAGGAACCTAGGGGGAAAAACTGTAATTACTGACTGCCCTAGTCTGCGAACACTGAAAGCTCTGCCTTTTTTAATTAGCTACACCTCCTCATTAAGGACGCAGCAGCACCCGTGGCGCTGGCAAGGCGAGCGGGGCTCGCAGAGCCCCGGCTCCGGCTCGCCGCCCGGCACGCTT